TTTTGGAACAGTTTCAGGAGAATAGGTATTAATTCTTCTTGAAATGTTTGGTAGAATTCCCCTGGGAAGCCACCTGGCCCTGGGCTTTTGTTTGTTGGGAGATTTTTGATGACTGCTTCAATTTCCTTAGTACAAGCATTGTGTTTGGTGCTCAGAGCCCAATAATGAATCAGACATCGTCTTATCTAATCCTTGGAAAAAAACCTATGAAATGCACTTTAACCCAATTTTACAGGTGAAGAACTGATAAGTAAAGTGACTTGTGCAAGATGCTAACAAGTAGTTACATCAGATTGGGACAGAACCCAAAGCCCTTTGCCTTTGAGCAATGCCCTGGTGGAAGCTTGCCTGGGAATTTGAGATTTTGTCTTGATCAGAAGCAGAAGCAAAAAGGGGCCCTGTCAGGGGTCTGCACCATTAAGTCACAAATGCCCATCCCACAGACCAGCTGCCTCACATTCACCTGAGTGTTGTTCTACTTTGTTTTATTTATTTATTTTTTTGTAATATCAACATTTATCTCTTATCAGTAGCTTCATTTGAAAAAGAACTATGTGCCACATTCTCTTAAATGTGTCACAATTTTTAGGATAAGGCCTACAAGCATGCATTATAAATAATGTATCCTGTATTTTCCAAAATATTGTATTTCCAAAATATGGCTTTTTAAAAATCATATATTATTATATTTCAGTGTAATGATTAACAGCAGAAACTGAAACAGAAGATACCTAACATGTGTAGGTAATAAAGTTAAGTACAAAAAGATATATTTCTAAGTTTGCGGACATGGTAAATACTCTTCAGATTGTTCTTGCCTACCCTAGAATGCAAACTTTCTACAATAAGATTATGGAAAATTCTCTTTTTAAAATTTTATTTAGCTATTTATCTTCAGGTGCTGTTTTAAATTCAGGTTCTAAGGCCCCCCAACTGACTTATGTAACCAGACGTATCTGAGCTAAGGCCCTGGGACTCTGTGTTGTAAGAGATCTGCCCAGATGATTTCTATGAGCTATCAGGTTGGCCTAGACCAGTGATTCTCAATTTCGACTGTCATCAGAATTACCTGAGGAGCTTTAAAAACAAAACAAAAAAAAACACAGAAAAACCACAGGGGCACCTGGGTGGCTCAGTCAGTTAAGCATCCGACTCTTGATTTCAGCTCAGGTCATAATCTCAGGGGTCATGGGACAGAGCCCTGTGTTGCATTCTGCACTGGGCATGGAGCCTGCTTAAGATTCTCTCTCTCCCTCTCCCCCTACCACCTCCCCCTGCCACCACCCTTCAAGTGCGCACGCGCACTCTCTCAAAAACAAAAAGAAAAAACCAAAACCACAAAAAAAAACCCCCAATGCCTAGGCCCACCATTGAAGATTCTGGTTTTTCTCCAGGGTGGGGCCTAAGCAATGGTATTTCTTTTAAAAACTCACCTGGTGCTCCTATGGTGTAGCCAGGATTGAGAACCAATCGGTGAGAAGATTCTCCAGATCACAGAACTTTAGGAATTACACAGATCTCAAATCTCTGAATTTAGGGAACCCTTCAGCCCTAAACTATTGGGAATTGAGGTGGGCGTGAGGCTGTGCCCCAGTGTGCAGAAGTGTAGGCACGGAAACGTGCATGTTCCACCAGAAAGTCCTCCTACCCTGGTGGAGGAGCACAGGCTATTTTGAGTGAGTCACTGCACCATTTTTGAGCCTCCATTTCCTTATTTACAAAGGCTTCTAATGATAGTAGTACCTACGCCGGGAGGTCATCGTAGGGCCCAGAGATGCAAGCTGGAGCTTCCAGCACAGTGCCTCACATGTAGTATTTATTAAAATGGTGGCCAGTATTGTTATAAATATTATTATTATGACTATTTTTACTACTTGTAATGCTACCGAGGATTTTTATATTTTACAGCGAGGCATCCACAGAGCACGACTGTGTGAGGACCAAGAGTCAAGACCCTCTGGCCATCTACTTCACAAGTGGCACCACCGGGGCCCCCAAGATGGTTGAGCACTCCCAGGCCAGCTACGGACTGGGTTTTGTGGCCATCGGAAGGTACCAGGGGACAGTTCATCTGCTGGGTCCAAGGAACAGAAAGGGAGTGAGCTGAAGGAATGTGAGTAAGGTGCATAGTGGCAAGAGTGAGGTCAGAGAGCTAACAAAGTGGCAAATCCAGTAGAATCTGAAGGCTTTGGGCTTTACTTTGAGAGAGGTGAGAAGCCATTGGAGGTGTTTTTGTTTCTATTTTTGTTTTTAATTGTGGTAAAAGATACTTCACATAAAATTAACCATTTTTAAGTGTAGACTTCAGTGTCATTAAGGACATTCACATTGTTGTGCAGTCATCCCCACCGTCCATCTCGGGAACGTTTCCATTTTGCAAATCTGAATCCACATTACACAATCCACATTACACAATAATTCCCCATTCCCTCCCTGTTCCCCCCTGACAACCGCCATTCTACTTTCTGTCTCTATGAACTTGACTACTCTGGAAACTGCCTATAGGTGGAATTATACAGTATTTTTCCTTTGATGTCTGACTCATTTCACTTAGCATAATGTCCTCAAGTTTCATCCACGTTGTAGCAGGTGAATTTCCTTCCTTGTTCAGGCTCAACAATATTACCATGTGTGTGATGTACCAGTGTTGTTTACCCAGTCACCCATGGATGGACACTTGGGGGCTCCCCAACTTTTCGGCTGTTGTGACTAGTCCTGCTCTTTTTTTTTTTTTTTTAAGATTTTATTTATTTATTTATTTATTTGAAAGAGAGAGACACAGCAAGAGAGGGAACATGAGCAGGGGGAGTGGGAGAGGGAGAAGTAGGCTTCCCGCCGAGCAGGGAGCCCAGTGTGGGGCTCGATCCCGCCATGACCTGAGCTGAAGGCAGACGCTTAACGACTGAGCCACCCAGGTGCCCCGTGACTAGTCCTGCTCTTAACATGGGTATATAAGCATCTCTTTCCAAAACTCTGCCTTTAATTCTTTCGGGCATATACCCAGAAGTGGCATTGCTGGATTGTACGGTGATTCTATGTTTAATTTTCTGAGGAACACTGGAGTATTTTGAGCAAAGGAGTGACGTGATCTGATTTTTTTTTTTTTTTTTTAAGGATCTCGCAGGAGTTTGGGTTGAGAATAAACTGTAGGGGGCAAGAGATGAAGCAGAGGCCCGCTTCAGAGGCCAGTCGCATTAAGAGGCAAAGGTGGAGGCTTCCCCAGGGGATAGTGAGAGGAGCTAAGATTCTGAATGTATTGTGAATGTAGGCCTGATAAGGTCTCCTGACACATGTGATGTGAAGCAAGAGAGAAAGTGAAGAGTCAGGGATGACACGAGGTTTTATGGCCTGAACATCCAGAAGCATTAACTGATAGCAGGAAGACTGGGATGAGCTGTCTGGTGGGAGGAACGTGAGGAGTCTGTGTTCGGCGTTCTGAGTTTGAGATGCTTAGTAGACATCTCCATACCCTGAGTTAAGAATGGAGATGCTGGGGAGGCAGTTGGAGAGATTCATGCGTAGAGTTAGTGGGAAAGATTCATGCTGAAATTATCAGCAAGGTGGTACTTAATGCCACGAGATTGGATGAGATCGGTGAAAAAGTAACGGACACCGAGAAGAGAAGAGGCCTCAGCGCTGAATGCCTGAGGCCTTTCCACAATGAAGGGAGAAGCAAGGAAAACTCAGAGGAGAAGACCAAGAAGGAACAGCCATTTAGTAGGTTGAGGACCAGGAGACCATGTATCCCAGAATCCAAGTGCAGAACATGATCACTTTTCTATGCTCACAAGCACTGCTTCCCCTTCCTGGGATGTCCTTCCTTCTCTAACTCCCCTGGGTAGCTCTTATGCATCATTACATCTCGCTCAGACCTCACCTCCTCTAGGGAAGCATTTCTCAGACCCCATCTCCATCCTTTCTCTCGTTAGGTGCCCGTTCTCTGTAATTGCATAAAGCTCTGTGTTTAACTCTATGAAAGCTTGCTCTCCACGGGCCTCCTAGATGTTGATACTTACTAACCTATAAGCCCCCCAAAGCAACACTAATCATTCTTTCCTACACTCTGATGCCAAGTCCAGAATAAGTGTTGAATAAAGAAAGTGCCCTCATCACATTGTATGGAGATGATGTGTTCCCTTATAGATCACTCCCACTAGACTGTGAACTCTTAAAAGCATGGGAGCTGTCTTTTTAATTCTATATCCTTCACCTAGGGCATAAATACCTAGAATATGTTCAATAAATGCTTGTCGAGACAAAGATTGACAAAGATTGTACAGATTAACTATAAGTGAGTACCCACTGTGGGCAAGGTTCCAAATACAGTAACATGGATAATGTAATCCTTTTTAAAGGTAGAAGCATTCCTGAGGGTTCTGACTTTCTTTAATTTTTGGCAGGCGGTGGATGGACTTGACCAAATCGGACATCTTCTGGAACACGTCTGACACTGGCTGGGTAAAGTCAGCTTGGACCCTCTTCTCTGCCTGGTCTAATGGATCTTGCATTTTTGTGCATGAGCTGCCCCGAGTCGATGCCAAGATTGTTCTGAATGTAAGAAACAAAAACATGGCTTATGTGTTGGATGTAAATGAGATGAGTAGAATATAGGTTTTGAATTTGCAGGAGAAAAGGCGTGGATAAGTGACTATAAGGCTTCTTTAGTGTGGATATTAAAAAAATGGCTCCCAGGACGTTCAGTAATCGGATTCCTGCCCACCTACCTTCAATTATTGCCTATCCTCTAACTAGATCCCTAGACATAAGACCATTTCATATCTCTAAACATCTGCATATTCTATTTTTTCTTCATTGAGTGCCTCTCCTTCCACCACTTTCTTCCCTGTGCGCCTGTTAAAACCCTAGTTATTTTTCAAAACTTTGGGGAAAATCATAATCAGGTGGGTTCTTAACACATATTGATTATTATTGCCACTATCAAGCTCACCATCATCATTATTCAACTGAGGGCTTGATCAGCCAGTGTGTGCCTTGTCCCTCTACTGGCCCCCCGCCCTTACATGGTGTATTAGTTATCTATGGTAGTCAATTACCCCAAAACCTAACAGCTTAAAACAAACATTTATTATCTTAGTGTCTGGTGATCAGGAGTCTGGGAGCAGCCTAATAGCTGGTTCTGAATCAGGGCCTCTCGTGAGGTTGTAGTCAAGATGTCAGCTAGGTATATGCATGTTCAGAGCAGCATTATTCCTAATAGCCCAAGGTGGAAGCAACCCAAGTCCCATCAGCAGATAAATGAATAAACAAGATGTGGTACATACATACAGTAGAATATTATTCAGCCTTTATTTTTTTTAATTTTATTTTATGTTATGTTAATCACCATACATCATTAGTTTTTTTTTTTTAAAGATTTTATTTATTTATTTGAGAGAGAGAGGATGAGAGATAAAGAGCATGAGAGGGAAGAGGGTCAGAGGGAGAAGCAGACTCCCTGCTGAGCAGGGAGCCCGATGTGGGACTCGATCCCGGGACTCCAGGATCATTACCTGAGCCGAAGGCAGTCGCCTAACCAACTGAGCCACCCAGGCGCCCACATCATTAGTTTTTGATGTAATGTTCCACGCTTCATTGTTTTCGTATAACACCCAGTGCTCCATGCAGTACATGCCCTCCTTAATACCCATCACTGGGCTAACCCATCCCCCTACCTGCCCCCTCTCCTCTAACACCCTCAGTTTGTTTCTCAGAGTCCGTAGTCTCTCATGGTTCATCTCTCCCTCTGATTTCCCCCCCTTCCTTTTTCCCTTCCTTCTCCTAATGTCCTCCCGGCTATTCCTTATGTTCCACAAATAAGTGAACCATATGATAATTGACTTTCTCTGCTTGACTTATTTCACTTAGCATAATCTCCTCTAGTCCCATCCATGTTGATGTAAAAGTTGGGTATTCATCCTTTCTGGTGGCTGAGTAATATTCCATTGTATATATGAACCACATCTTCTTTATCCATTCATCTGTTGAAGGGCATCTCGGCTCTTTCCACAGTTTGGCTGTTGCGGACATTGCTGCTATGAACATTGGGGTGCATATGGCCCTTCTTTTCACTACATCTGTGTCTTTGGGGTAAATACCCAGTAGTGCAATTGCTGGGTCATAGGGTAGCTCTATTTTTAATTTTTGAGGCACCTCCACACTGTTTTCCAAAGTGGCTATACCAACTTGCATTCCCACCAACAGTGTAAGAGGGTTCCCCTTTCTCCACAACCTCTCCAACATTTGTTGTTTCTTGCCTTGTCAATTTTTGCCTTTCTAAGGTGGTATCTCAATGTGGTTTTGATTTGAATTTCCCTGATGGTTAATGATGATGAATATTTTTTTATGTGTCTGTTAGCCATTTGTATGTCTTCTTTGGAGAAGTGTCTGTTCATGTCTTCTGCCCATTTTTTGACTTGATTATTTGTTTTTTGGGTGTTGAGTTTGAGAAGTTCTTTATAGATCTTGGATACCAGCCCTTTATCTGTAATGTCATTTGCGAATATCTTCTCCCATTCTGTGGGTTGCCTTTTTGTTTTGTTGACTGTTTCCTTTGCTGTGCAGAAGCTTTTTTATCTTGATGAAGTCCCAGAAGTTCACTTTTGCTTTTGTTTCTCTAGCCTTTGGAGATGTATCTTGAAAGAAGTTGTTGTGGCTGATGTCAAAGAGTTTACTGCCTGTGTTCTACTCTAGGATTTTGATGGATTCCTGTCTCACATTGAGGTCTTTCATCCATTTTGAGTTTATCTTTGTGTATGGTGTTAGAGAATGGTCGAGTTTCATTCTTCTGTACTATCCAATTTTCCCAGCACCATTTATTGAAGAGACTGTCTTTTTCCCATTGCATATTTTTTCTGGCTTTGTCGAAAATTATTTGACCATAGAGTTGAGGGTTCATATCTGGGTTCTCTGTTCTGTTCCATTGGTCTGTATGTCTGTTTTTGTGCCAGTACCATGCTGTCTTGGTGATCACTGCTTTGTAATATAGCTTGAAATCGGGCAATGTGATGCCCCCAGCTTTGTTTTCCTTTTTCAACATTTCCTTGGCGATTCGGGGTCTTTTCTGATTTCATACAAATTTTAGGATTGTTTGTTCCAGCACTTTGAAAAATGTCATTGGAATTTTGATCGGGATGGCTTTGAAGGTATAGATTGCTCTGGATAGCATAGACATTTTAACAATGTTTATTCTTCTGATCCATGAGCATGGAATGTTTTTCCATCTTTTTGTGTCTTCTTCAATTTCTTTCATACGTGTTTTGTGGTTCCTAGAGTATAGATCCTTTACTTCTTTGGTTAGGTTTGTTCCAAAGTATCTTATGGTTTTTGGTGCTATTGTAAGTGGAATTGTTTCTCTAATTTCTCTTTCTACAGTTGCGTTGTTAGTGTATAAGAAAGCAACTGATTTCTGTGCATTGATTTTGTGTCCTGCCACATTACTGAATTGCTGTATGAGTTCTAGTAATTTGGCGGTGGAGTGTTTTGGATTTTCCACATAAGGTATCATGTCATCTGTGAAGAGAGAGAGTTTGACTTCTTCGCCAATTTGAATTCCTTTTATTTCTTTTTGTTGTCTGATTGCTGTTGCTAGGACTTCTAGTACTATATTCAACAATAGTGGTGAGAATGGGCATCCTTGTCATGTTCCTGATCTTAAGGGAAAGGCTCTCAGCTTTTCCCCATTGAGGATGATATTTGCTGTGGGTTTTTCATAGATGGATTTTATGAA